CGCAGCGAATGTGACTGTAACCCGTGTTGGCACAGCAGTCTCTGCAGTTACCGCACCGACCTTCCACTTTGCTGTAAACCGTTTGGTTTTCCTACTTCCTCTCCTTCTGTGAAGTTATACTCCACACACACTTCTCTCCCAACCCCCCCACCCTTGTCTTTTCCTCGCCCCCTCCTTCTAGTTCTTGTCATGCAACTCTTCACCTTTGGGAGACCTGGGGCAGCCTGTCAGGCAGCAGCGATTCCGACCCGTCGGTCTCGGCCTCCCCATGAACCCTAGGATGCTGACTCTGAACCTGGATCCACCCAGTGCGTCCTTTCTTATCCCCAATGGATGGATGGATGGATGGTAGGGATGTTAATACTTTTAGTGGAACAAAGCCTGTGAAATGATTGTATATAGTGTTAATTTACTGTAATGAATGGCTAGTTTTTATTCTCATCGTCAAGGCACAAAACCAGTTCCTGCTTAACCTTTTCATTCATTTCTTTGCCTTTTTCTCCACCCACCTCTCCCCCTTTAATTTTTTTTTCCTTGAGAGATAATTAACAATATCCTAAGAGGCTCTGGAAACCTGAAATACTTGATAGATATAATGATGAGTTTCTCACTTCTCCTCAATCCATTGCATGAAATAATTGCTCTGTGCCCTCATGCACACAAGTAGCTACGGAGAACCTGAGCAGACACCTGAGAAGGACAGGTGTCTGTTCCTAGGCAAGTCCATTAAGTGGCATGAACCTGCAAAGCAAAGTTAACTGGAATTGTATGTTTCCCCCTCCTTCCTTCTAAATAGAATAGCTCAACATAGCAATATTATTTTGCCTTATTTGTTTTTCCCCAAAGTGCCAAATTCATGACTGGTCTGTGCAGGTGCCAAATATGCTGACAAACTGTTTCTGAATATCTTTTTAGCCCCCCCCCCACCTTTATATGCTGTAAATCTTTGTAATGACGATTCCCCTAATCATATAGATGACTGAATTGTTGATAACTATAGTGTAGTCTAGTGAAGATGAATTGTGAGTTGTATATTTTACTGCATTTTAGTTTTGAAAATGATTCCCCCACTACCTAGAAACAGCTGCAATTTGACTTTCTTGGGAAAACACTAGCATTAATGCAAGTAAGACTGATTCTCTCCCCTCTAAGTCTTGTTATATTTGATAAGAAACATTTATTTCCCTGGAAATAGATTAGTAGGATTTCTAATGTTGTGTAGCAAGCCTATACTTTTTTTTGTATTTTAAAATTAATGTGAAATATGCATCATACACAATATTCAATCTAGATTCCAGTCCATGGGGGGATTTTTCCTAATAGGAATTCAGGGTCTAAACGTGTGTATACTTTGGCTCTCCTGTAAATCCAATGTTGTGATTTTTATATTTGTTTCGTTTTGTCTGTGAACTGAATAATTTATACAAGTACACACTCCATTGAGAAATGTTTTGTTTTTTGCTCGTTTGTATCGTCTGTGTACAACAAGTAAAATAAATCTGGTAAAACACTATGGTGTTTGAAAGCAGTTTACAGTTTGAGAATAATTTAATTATTATAGGCAGTAACTTTTAAGGGTTAAGGAAGAATGACCTGTCCCCACTCCAGTATGGGGCAGTCTATTTGATGGGAACCACCTTCCATTCCCCTCTTAAATTTGTTTTATAGCATTGCCAGTGAATCCCTTTTCCTTCTTATTTACAGTTATTTGGCTCCCTGAGTCATTTCACTTCGTTGCACTCATTCCCCCCCCCCCCCCCAGGAAAATGTATTCACTTCATCATATGTCTGATCCTAGAAGTTGGAAATAATTCAAGCAGGAAAACGGAGGGTCTTTAATAAGGAGTTAAAAATTTCTTTAAATTTTACAAAGTAAGGTGTGAGGCTTTGAGTAAGAGTAGGGTGTAATTTAAATGCATGTCAAATTAGGCTGTTGACCACAGCATTAGGCAGAAGTCGAAAATTGTCTTTAAATACGAGGCCTTGGACACCAGTGTCGAATCTGTAAATGCAAACACAGAATGAATGGCCTAGATTTCTTTAATGGATGGTTTGGGGGTTGGGAGGTGTTTGGCGGGGTTGGAGAGGGGGTGACCAACTTGTGAAAGGTCAAGTTTTTTAGCCACGGAACTTAAAACTTGATTTGTGACGTATTTGGGAGCACTGCTCCATCCTTTCTCCAGTGGAATCCATGCCTAAGCCAGATCCCCATCCCTGGAGAACAAATGCAGAAATGTGGATATTCCAGCTCGGGGAGAGGGTCGCTGCGTCTTAGTCTAGGGGTCCGCACAGCTCTGCCTTTACCTCGTGGAGAAGCGGTTTTTGTATTTGCCTCCAGAGGAAGGAGATCCAGGAAAGAGGTGGAAAATGGCTCAACATTCTTGCTTAGTCTGGGCCAGTTTCAGGTTACAGGACTACATTTACCTTCACCTAGAGATCGTCCTGTCTCACTTTCACTATTTGTCATGCAAAGACGGCTTCAAAGTTCCAGTGGAAATGAAAATTAGAGTGGGGAGCGAAACTGATTTGCCTTCCCTGGACAGTTTCGCCACTAGACGGCGTTCCGCGGAGTGCTGTCTGCTATCTAGAAACGCGACGACTGATTTTCCTTTGTGCTTTTCTCCCTTCCCACACCTAAGAACCAAACAGGAGGACGGAAAGTATAAAGCGTGGCTAGTGGGTGAAGCCGGGCAGTGTATTCTTGTGATCCCCCCACTGGGGCTGCGCTCCTGCGACCTCGGGCCCAGGGGGCGCACGTGCGGTGGGGAG